GTAATTTCTCATTCTGACTCAAAAAAGAGTTTGCTTCGGAGTGGTAGCGCTTTTCCGCTCCTTCGGGTTTTACCAGCTTCTTGCTTGGTCCCTTTGGGTCGTATGAAGTCTGAACCTGTTTTAGCTCCTGTAGAACGTACTCAGTTATAAAGCCTGCTAACTCAACGCTAAATGATTGACGTAAAACGGATGGGAATGTGAGAACAAACCAGAATACTAGATTTCGATAGTAGGGAATAACGCCAAATGTTTTGAGGTTTCAGTGAGCTTGAGTTTATGCTAAGGTTTAACCCAGTCACATAACTTTGCTTGTTTTTTTTCCATTTCTTAAGATCCGCCTACATTTCTATTTCAGGATCTTTGTTTCGATAAGTTTATGGCTGAACTACGATTTTGGGCAGTTAGCAAATCACGAATGGATGAATGCTGTTCTCCATTCGCTCAGTACTGCGTGCACATTGATTCACGCGGCTCGGTAAGTTGCCATCTTCTCAACCCCTCTTTCTGTCATTCCTTTTTTTTATTATTTTCCAATGTTGTTGCTTGCCTGCTCTTTTTGACACCGTTTCCTCGGCTAGCTTACTCTCTATGTAGGATTCCTGCTTTTAGGCGGTAGTAATGGTACCGATGAAGTTTTGATGGTTGGCGGTGTGGACTGCTGTATTCAGCTTCTGCTTCATTTTTGTAATTAGCCAATCTTCCGAACCACTTGGATGGACGGAACAAACTTGAATGGAAAAAGGAAACTTTCTCCCGGAAACCGATGATTACCTCGTTAGCATACAAAGTCCATTCCTCGGGTGGTGATGCTTTCCTGGCAAGTTCAGGTTCAGGATCGGCTCATGGCCTGCTTGTTGAACGAGCTAGGAGAGCATGTTTTCCGTATCGGTGAGGAACCACCCAAAGTTTACCAGAAGATTAACATACAATACGGCATAGGAATTAGAGAACTGACACTTTCGCTCCTCAACCTGGCATCAAAGTGGAGCGGGACTCGGAGTTTTATTGTCCTTTCGAGAACACAGAAGGCGGTGTAGCCATATTGCATACTGTCCCTCTATTCCGTGGAGCCGATATGAAGCTGGACACTACTCACAGTCCTGATTTTATGGGCCAAACATCACGCTTCATTCCAGGCTTTAAGATGCATTTTTTGATTTTTTCGGATCCATGCGTTGGGGTTTTCCAGACGAGTATCTTTATTAGCGTGTGTCAGTGGGGTTACACTTTTTCGGTCTATAACTACCTCTCATGATGCTCTCTATTTCGTTTGCAGCGTGATTTTGAACGGATCTGCAAAAAAAAAACTTTTTATTATTTATTTGAGTACTGAGGTGCACAAGAGAGTGATGATCCTCATCATTCTTTCTATCAATGCACTTAAATATTAGGATTTTGTTTAGGAAAAGGACCATTTCATTGGGGTCCGATGCGCTAACCTTCGTCGACGTCTCTGGCTGATTCTTGAAGGTCATAGTCAATCACGATGGTGGAAAGTAAGTGCCATGTTCTATATTATCCTAGTGGTTTCCACTGTCATTCCCAATTGACATACTCTAGTGATCCACTGTTGTGTAGAGACCAGAAATATCAGTTCACTTAGCCAACGGCTAAACAATAACTTAAATTTCCGTTATTTTGACTATTTCGACTTTCTCGTTGATGTAACTGGATTTAGGCTTTCGAAGTAATCTCTACATCGTTCGTAGTATTATCGATATCGGCATTGATACTCGGCTCACTACCGGAGTTTCAAGTTCCACAAAAATCCGAAGACGGACAGCTGGTGTGTATTTTCAGCAAATTAGTAGTCGATGTGATCACGAATTTTCCTTCATCTGTTTCGCTTTATTTTATTTGTTCAAATCAGGTTGCTTTGTAAACTTTGGAGCTCAGAAGTCATGATTGGGAGTCTTAGGCTATGTGAACTAAGACCCTACCTCTCTACGAGGCTGCATTCGTACGGATTCTGGCGATCGTAGCCCATAAAGTACCTTACGTCATTAACTGGCGTACTATGCCAACAAGAAGCCAGTGCAATATAAAATTGATGTGACGTATTTCAAAAAAGGGGCCGATCCTTGCTGAGCCATGTATTTTTTCTAATCAAGATTTCTTTTACTGTTTGCATATCTTCTTGATATAACGGTTTATCAGAATACCTCTCTTCAGAACTATACGTGATTCATTCAGGTGTATGCAACTGCCACTTATCCGACTTATCCGAATGCTGGAGGTGGACTAACGGTTGAGTCACGAACGGTTGTCCGAGAAGGCGGTGAACAACACGTAGGTTCACACCTCCATTAATGATTGTATGGATGGTGATAAATATAGAAATTAAAATTTAGTTGTCGTTTAGGTCGAAATGACTGAGCATCCGGTATTCACTTGGGTAGAAAACATTTGTGTGGTGTACTTCTCTTTGGAGTATTTGCTACGATTTCTGGTCGCTCCACGGAAATTGGCATTCGCACGGCAGTTCCTTAACGTCATCGATATGTTATCCATTGCGCCGTTCTACTTTGAAATGCTTCTTTGGCTTGTGAGTTCATTTGCAACAGAATTTGTGCGCTCTTTTTTTTTNTTTTTTTTTCTTCACAAGTTCTACTTCGTTCAGTGTGGCATCTCTGGGGAAAACGTCCGAAAAGTACGATGGGCCTTCTTGACGGTTCGTCTTTTGCGAGTGCTACGGGTAATTCGGATAGCCAAATTGGGACGATTCTCCCCAGGTAATTTTTTTTCCTGGTTCTTCGAAATTCCGTTCAAGTTCGTTTCATGAGTATCTGCCAATGCGTCCGAGCTGCACTTGAAAAGAAGTGGGAGAAGCCTGGTTTGTCAAGTACCACTAAGTGGCAGACCTTTCGCCCGAATTAACTAATAACTGAACTGTATGAACAACCGGAACATGAAGTGCGTGGTGTTGTCCCAACTGTTCATAACAGTTATTGTTTGTTTATATTGATAACAGTTGATTTGGGCATATCGCCTGCTTTGTCAACGTATTGAGCAAGTATGAGTTAATCCCCTTTTCTCAGATCCTTGATGCCCCACAAGTTTCAATTGCAACCTCGCTCGTTCGTATCCGAGCCATTACGCCGTGAATACGTCAATGTATATTTTTAGGGCTGGCGAATTTCGCATTGACGATTAGAAAATCTAAAAAGCAAATGCAAATGGTGGGCGTGGTCATGGTGACGGTTGTGATTTTCTTCTCTACTCTTATCTATTTCCTTGAGCGAGACGAACCGGATACGAAATTCACCAGCATACCAGCCACGTTTTGGTGGTAAGTGCAGTATAATTCCTATTTTTTATTCAAATGTATGACGATCAGTAATTGCGAGACTTTCTCCTGTATAGGTGCGTAGTGACGATGGCTACGGTAGGATACGGTGATTTGGTACCGGTTACAGTGGCCGGCAAAATGATTGGAAGTGGTGCCATTGTATGTGGTGTGATGGTGCTCGCACTACCAATCACTATCATGGTACTTCTTTTAGCATATCCATTAGAAGTTGCTCAATACGATCAAGAATCTTTCAGGTGAACAATTTCATGCAAGTTGTAAAGTTACGGGAAGAGAAAATCGTTAAGAAATACGCTCAGCAGCACGGTGATCAGGTTTGATTGGAGAAACCGAGCAGGTGAGTCTGTTAAAAGCCTATTAGTTCAAATCCCAGCTCACTGATCCTACAGTACAATCTCCAGTACTGTATCATCTCGATTTCAGCTGTTCCCGGCCGTCGATCGTGCCTTTCGAACTCGTCGTCGTAGGGTGTGGCTATCGAATCGACCGTTGAAATCTCAAAACGAATTCGAGCTTTCATTCAACGTCTAGGCTCAACGTCCACAACCAAGAGCAGGAGCTCCGCCTCGTGAAACGCCTACCCCGCTAGAGATATCCCTGTGAAGTGCCAAAATCATATCACGTGGAATTCAGACACAACATAGCTTGTTCTTATCTCCACAAAAACGATCTTCTCTTGTTGTTTTGATTACTGTAATCTGTAATAAATTATTTTATTCCGATGTTCGATTTTGTTTCTTCAAAATTCAATGAACGAGCACGATCTCTGATGATACTTATAATTCCACTGTTCATATTGTTTGGGGTTTGTGATAACGGTGGGGCACTTCTAACTATTGCAACCCAAGTGCCACTACGAGTAGGGGTTTGGTTGCCTCCCTTCATTCACCTTCTAACCTATCACTTGAGCAACATAGAGTTGGGAAGCAGTATGATGCTATGGATGAGTTGTGAGATAGAGGTGTATTTTGGTGGTCGAAAGCAAAGACATTCGGGCTGGCCCCTACAAGGTTTTGAAGGCGAATGTGTTGAAGGCTAACTTTGCTGCAAAGCTGCTGTGCACGACATGAAATCCGATACACGTAATGTAGAACCAGGTTTAGGTACGACGTTTCGAAAGTGCAGTGGGTAAGGGTCTCGTCTCCGGTCTGCAGGGGGAAGAGATCGACTCTTTAGTACGGCTGCTGTCTTGCTGAAATCTTTACGAATCCTCTATCCACATTCCAAGTATTTCAGACGTGCAAAAACCGACATAAAATGAGTCTTCTCGTTTCTGACGTTTAAAAAATCAGAACCATCGACCTTGCGCGTACTGGACCCCATTGTTATCCATTGCGCTGTGGAATCACATACTCCTTCTCTCACTTATCTGCACCTTAGGCTGAGCTAGTAAACTTGAAAGTTTTCAAGTCTATAAGCTCAAATTTTGCATCCAGAATTACGAAAGCATCCGACCAAATGTCGTTGGGTTGGCAAAAAACCTTCACGCCCGCCTGCAAAACATAGTGGTATTTCGGGCAGCCGAAGTCACGCATTCTGATCACTTCAGCTCACTGCACCAGCTAAGGAAGCAGCGAGAGCTTCCACTCACTGAGGTGGCGTGTATGATCGTCCACAGCCACCTTCGAGCCGAAGACGGCTGTTGCGGTGCCCGCCGAACATCAGGCAAACCTCA